TCCTCCCTCTCTCCTTTTCATGAAACTGTATGTACCTTTTGAATATATAATGCAAGTACAAAATTTATAAAGACACAAAAGGTTATATAGTTAACAGTCTCCCTGCCACCCTGTATTCCCAGTCTCTCAGAGCCTCTACAGAGCCTTCTTAGTTCCAAATAGAGCCTGCTAGAGATGTTCTGTGCTTACATAAGCATATATGTGTGTGTGTGTATTCCTTCTATATAAATGACAGTATATCTATTGTTTTGTACCTTACTTTATTTACTTATGAATTTGATATTCCTACATATAAATTCAATTCATATAAAGCCCTCCTTTAAAAAAAATAGCTATATAGCCTCCTTACTATTCCATTGTACAAATATATCATTTATTTAACCAGTTTGTGACTGAGGGACATTTAGGTAGATTCCAATCACTTCTGCACTGACCTGCAAAGAAGATTCTCATGTACTATAAGTACCTAATGACCAGACAGTGGATGAGCTATTTTTAGGTGCTAACATAATTTTAGTTCATCTTATCCAAACAGAATAGTAGTTTCACAATGTCCATGAAGAAGAAACAATACAATTATTTAGCTATTTTATTTTTAAAGATTATATTTACTTATTTGACAGAGAGAGAGAGCGCGCACAAGCAGGTGGAGTGGCAGGCAGGAGTCTGACGTGGGGCTCGATCCCAGAACCCTGGGATCATGACCTGAGCTGAAGACAGAGGCCCAACCAACTGAGCCACCCAAGTGCCCCTCAAAGGTTATTTTAAAGTCAACAAAGCTGCATTCACCTAGAAAGAATTCTATCATATTAGGTCTTACAATAAATGTAAAAATGCAAAGAATAACTTCTAAATATTAAATTTTAATTGCTAATATTTGATTACTGTTGATGCTATGAAAACTACCAATTGACAATTACAAAGTATCCTCTTCAGAGGACTTTAAATTCTGTCCTACAGAACCCCTATGGATTTGGTTTTCAAATAAAAAATAGAAAGTCCTTTAAAAAGGGATAATCATTAGCAATATAACTTCATTGAAAAACAAATGCATATAATTAGGGGAACTTATTCTTTTCAATTTATTTTTAAAGTAAACTGTACAGCCAATATGGGGCTCGAACTCACAACCCCAGATCAAGAGTCACATGCTCCACCAATTGAGCCAGCCCAGGCACTCCTAGGGGAACTTATTCTTAAAAGGAGGTACTACCTCCTTAAAGAAAGCAACTCCTTATCAACAGCTGGATGAATGCTGTTAGTCCTTTCCCATTTTCCTGTTTCAATGCCCTAGTTCCACCTTCCTCCAATTTCCTGATGATGGTTTAGCCTAACTCTGGTTCCAAGACAAATTGAAATAAAAAATAAGATCAAAAACAAAAACAAAACAATAATTTTTTAATAAAACAGCTTCAGAAGAACATTGTATCACCCCAGAGCTAAAAACTGGATTCTTTTTTTTTTTTCCAAATATTTATTTATTTATTTATTTGACAGAGAAAGAGACAGCGAGAGCAGGAACACAAGCAGGGGGAGTGGGAGAGGGAGAAGCAGGCTTCCCACAGAGCAGGGAGCCCGATGTGGGACTCGATCCCAGGACCCTGGGATCATGACCTGAGCCGAAGGCAGATGCTTAACGACTGAGCCACCCAGGCGCCCAAAAACTGGATTCTGATAGCGGTATTCTGCAGATCACCTGCAGGGGCCTGAGAGCTGCACCTTAGTCCCTTTCCACTTTCTGGCCAGTTCATTTTCCTGGCATCCTAGTCCCTGTCTGGGATTGGAGCCCAGCCCTGAAATCCCAGGGTGGGATGGGAATTTAGCCTCACCAACTGTGATTAGATTATATGTCAAGGCACCGTTCTATGTGCCAAATCCAAGAGACAAAAAAATCCCTTCTCTTATGGAGGCTGATGGCCTGACACAGTTGGCTAGTTTTTGTCCTCCAAATTCTTCACTGTTCTACCCTATAAATTTTTGAACATCTTGACAATCCCTTTGGTGCTCCCCCCATGGCAGGCAACTGCTGCAATGTGACCAGGTTTATGAAAGCCCTAGGTACAGTTCCTTACTTACCTAGCCAAATCTTTGCTATCAGCCTAAGCTGCTCTATTAAGCAGACCAAGTGCGAAGTTCTTGTTACCTGCCATCTGATTTGCTTTGCTGTGTGTGGGTCACGGGAGAAGTGATGTCTTCGGAAAGACTGCTTAGAGCTGAATTTGAAGTGTTGTTTCAAAGTATGATTTATGTTAAGACTGTCCAATATGGTAGCCACTAGCCACATGTGGCCATTGAGCACCTGAAATGTGGCGGATTGGAAATGGTATGTGCTTCAAGTGTAAAATACAGACTAGATTTCCAAAAATCAGTACAAAAAGAAAGAGGAAGGAAGGAAGGAAGGAGGAAGGAAGGAAGGAAGGAAGGAAGGAAGGAAGGAAGGAAGGAAGGAAGGAAGGAGGGAAGGAAGGGGGTGCCTGGGTGGCTCAGTCAGTTAAGTGTCTGACTCTTGATCTCAGCTCAGGTCTTGATCTCAGGGTTGAGTTTAAGCCCCACACTGGGCTCCATGCTAGGTGTGGAGCCTACTTAAAAAAGAGAGAAAGAGGTCTCTGTAATTTTTAAAAGTACTGATTAAATGTTGAAGTGTTAATACATATTTGCTAAATATATTATTAAAATTAATTTTAGTTATCTCTTACTTTTTAAAATGTGACTACTAGATAATTTTAAATTATGTGTCATTTACATTATATTTCCACTGAATTGTGCTGCTTTAGAACATTTAGCTAATGGCAGCAACAAAAGTCATTATTTTGAGAGATTTGCTTACATAGCTAGCTATCATTAGAAGAATACCTAAAAATCAAAGTTCTTTGCAGAAAAACTGCTAGCTAATAAATGCTGAAGGAATGCTAAATAAGATCAGGATTATTTTGCAAACCCTAATGGAATAACTCATTTAGGTAAGCATCAATTGATGCTAAGACCACTGACAAAAGGTTGCTGTAGAAGAGGATATCCATCCAGTGGCAAAATCATGCCCTATAGATTATTTACAAACTGCAAAGACAAGAACTGGTGGTCATTACTTTAACAAATGATCAAACTTAGCATATGATAATGCTACAACCTGACATTACATGCCTCTTGATATATGAGGTAAATGTTACTGACAAAGCATTTTGCCCTAATGTTTTATTGTGAATTTTCAAACACACATACAGCAACAATGAAAGAATTTTATGATGAAAATCTATACTCAATATTTTACTCAGTTTATCACATTATCTATCCATCTCCTTATCCATTTTATTCTGATGCATTTCAAAGTACATTGTAGACATTACCTACATGCCCTTTCTAAATAATCTATGAAGTGTTCTTGCCAAAAATGTTTAACCTGAATCTAATCAAGCCTCTAAACCTAACTTCTAGTTTACAGGAAATACAGGGGCTATAGAGGAATAAGTTAATTGATACTAAGAGGAAACAGAAAAATCCAGAATATGGGACATTCTGTAACATTAGATGGTTTAAGAAGTGTATGTTATAAAAAAAAAGTTTGAATGACTAGATTTAAGAGTCTAAAGAGACATATAACAAATTCCAATTTGTCCACCTAAATCATAAATCACTATTTTTTTCAGATACTATTTAATAAAAAACCCATTCTTGTAACAATTAGAGAAATATGAATATAAACTAGATGTTAGATGATATGGAATTATTATTAGTTTTCTTAGACGTGGTAACAGACTGTGGTTATGCAGGCGATTACCTTTTTCAGGAGATGAATGCTGAAGAGAAAGAGATGTATTTACATGCATATACATACATATATAGATTTTTAAATTTATTCATTTATTTATTTTCTAGGGATAAGGCAAATATAGCAAAATGTTAACAATTATTGTATCTAAGAAGAGAGTAAAGAGGTATTCACTGTGCTGGTCTTTCAACTCTTCTGTACATCTGAAACACTTCAAAATAGAAACTGGGGGGCAGGGTAGATAAAAAAAACTCATTGTAGAGAGGCTGAAATGGTCTGTTCTGTTTTGTTCTGCCTGGGGCTTTCAGATCAGGAATGTGATCTTTAAAAAAAAACCTTACCACACACACATACACACAAATATGTTTCTCTAACATTATTTCCACCTCAGAGTCAATGCTATTATTAGCTAAGTCTTCAATATGCAATATTCCAACTGATGATTTAATCTATAATAAGCAAAGGCTTTAATGCTGTAGTATTACAGAAGACAGTTCTCATCGCCACCAGTCTGTGTAATGTATAGATGAAAGACATGTTGCCACACAACTTCAGACTTTATATACCACTTGTTAAAAGTATCCTACCATAGATCTTGCCTATTTCTGGCAACTTCAGACATAAAGGTTTTGGTGATCTTTTTCCTTCAGATTTCATTCTACTTTCCAACCTATTGCTGCTTCCAAAGTTATCAGGGCAGCTTCACCCTAAAGTCCAAAGACATGCTCATCACCCAGGTAATTAGAAATAGAAAATCATTAGCAGAGATCACTGGACACGGTATAGCAATAACTAAATAAAAGTATGAAATTTACATTACTAACATTTACAAAAATAAAAAACCAGGTATGTGATCTTACATGTGTACCTACAGTCGAAAAAAAGAAAACAGCCACTGACAATTATGACCTGTCTTCCAAAGTATCATTAGAAATAGCATATAACCTGGAAACAAAGAGGTGCCTTGGAGGAATGAGTGAAAATGACTAGATAGTATTAGACACTAAACTAAAAAACAGTATAATCAGGGCTTAGGTATTACAGTTAATGCTCTTTGGGCGAGATTGGGCACATTCAGGGTGGTATGGCCAGAGACAAGAGTGCTCTTTGGGAAAAAGGAATAACAGTAAAGTATGAAATCACCTTAGTGAAGATCAGTCAGCACAGATTTAATAAAGTAATTAATTACATTTGTCTTGTTTCAGATGCAATAAAATAAGGAAATGATATTTACCAGGGTTTGTCTTCTCAAGTTGATACCATCGGTAAAATGCTCTTTTCTTCTGTTCACTCAGGTCTGATCCCTGCTGCAACAGCCAGTGAGAGATCCGGCTCTGACTGATACCTGTGGAGAAAGAGAAACAGCTGTTGCAGGTACTGAAAGTACAGGGAAGCTGAGGGTTCTGTTGGTTCTAGGTTACTGGGTGCTTTATTCTCTGTGTTACTCTATAATGAAGCAACTCGAGCAAACTCTGTAATACCGGATTTCTTTGTAAAGACTGACTGCACTGTCTAGAATATACTCAGAAATGATCTACTAGAGGTCAAAGCATTTTATTAACCAAGACGTGAAAGTGGTCTCTAAAATTAATCCATCAGCTAGGTTCATGTGAAATAAATGAAGAGATTCCTAATTACTAGTTATATGTCGGAAGTTGATTAGATTTGTACTCCTACCACCACCACCTGCAGCCCAATCCTGGTTGAGAATATTAGAACTTTTACCAGATACTGAGAAGAAAGGGGGAAAAAAAAAAATCAAGCCAGCAAGTTTTGCTATTCATGATCAACACTGAGAAAAAAGATTTAGGGCCTGAGAAAGGAGAAGTCCTTGAAAACGGCATCTTCAATAAAGTTTCTGGCTTATTTGTTAATTCATATAGGCATTTTCAGACTCGTTACTATTACTACAGATAACAAAGAATTGGAAGAATTTTAGTCTTATGCTGCAATACGACCTCTTAAGAAATCTCAAGAGGTAAAGACATTTTTCTAAGACACAGACTTATAAAAAAACTGAACAGAATATAAAGCAGTAGTTTTCAGCTACCTCTAAGAAGTTCTTGACAGCAATTAATTAGAAATGTGAAAAACCTCCACATGTGAAAGTAAAAAAGCATGACTAAAACTTAACAGTATGAGAATCACATGCTTCTCTGGTCATTATAGCTATTCCAAAAATGAATAATTCAACATACAACTGGCAAAAGCAAAGAATAATAGGAAAGATAATACTATCTTATGCGCCTATAAGGCACTTTCCAAAAGACTATTCAGCTATCATAGAGGGTTCACAGTATCTAAATTCTCCCAAGGAATTACGTATGGTAACTGGATGGCACTGAATGCCACCTGTGCCAACAACTCTTTAAAGCTATAATGCACAACAGGAAGAGTGGTTATCAGGAAGTAACACATCTCCTAACATGAGAAGGAGCAGGAGGTCTGGTGATCACATTTAAGTCATTAAAAACAAGCCCCCAGAGTTTCATACTTTAAAAACCTATGTTACAAGAAAATTGGGAGGAAATTGGGGAGAGGAGATTTGTTAAAAGAGAGGCTGGGGTTTGCATTATGTTTCTCTGATTGGAAATACCTTTCACTTTCAAAGGGTGAAAGTCAAAACAGTTTTCCAAAACCTAAGTGATCACGCTCTCAAGTAGTTCACACGGTAGTTTCCCGGTGGACTGAGGATCTATGTGATGCGGGTGCGGCAGCTAGCACGGTATGCTTGTTCTAAGAGAATGCAAATTATTTTGGATAACTAAATTGGCTGTTTAGCAATGCTATCACCAAAAGTCTAGCTTCAGACATTATACTACTTTTTACATTACTTTTAAACAGGAGTGAAAAAAAAAACCATTCACCACCATAAAATCAAAATTGGTTTTCATGTCATAAAATGAAACTATTTTATATGGATTCTTCATATTGGTACCATACTACTCAGAAACAGAGGAAATTTGAGAAAAATCTGTTAAGGAAAAAAAAAATATACAGAGATTCTGAAACTTCCAGGATTGACTCTTCTGCACACAGGTCACAGAGCCCACTAGATATTGGAGCTGTCCAGGTTCTGGCTGTGCTGTAGGGAAGGAAGAGGGCAAATGCCCATCAAAAGGAGATTAAATTATGGTCTATTCACATAATAAAATACTGGGCAGACTTTTAAAATGTTCTAAAACAGCCATCAGAAACAAACACTAACACAAAAACAAACCAAACAAAAAGCCATCAATCCCAGGTTCTGGCAAGGAAGTAGAGTAAATGGAATTCTCACACTGCTGACAGAGGGGTAAGATGTCAGGGTCACTTTGAGAAACAACGGGGCAGTATCTACTAAAGGTGAACATATGGATACCATATGGTCTAGCAATTTCTTTCCTTGATATACAGCACAGAAATTTGCACATACTCAATAGAAATGTGGGGCAAAAGGCATGTACACCTTGTATACATACAGACCTACAGAAGCACTACTCATAATAATCCCTAATCTGAAACAACTCAAACACCCATCAATAGGAGAATACATAAAAATCATGATTTATGCATTCTACTAAAGACTACCATACCAAATAGAAAAGGGATAAACCACTGCTACATGGAACCACATAAATAAATCTCACAAAAATAATATAGGCCCCCCAAAAAGCCACGAACATAAAAAAGCCACACACAACTGTATGACTTAATTTATATACAGTTAAAAAACAGACACAACTTATCTATATATGAGTGGTTACCTATGGATAGGAAGGTTAATTAACTGGGAGGCAGTATGAAGAAAGGTTATCAACATCATTACTGATTTTTTTTTTAAAGATTTTATTTATTTGAGAGAGAGAGCAAGAGACAGAGAGAGAGCGCGTGCGCACACACAAGCCCATGAGCAGGGGGAGGAGCAGAGGGAGAGGGAAAAGCAGACTCCCCGCTGAGCAGGGAGCCCTGAAGGATGCAGGGCTCCATTCCAGGACCCTGGGATCACGACCTGAGCCAAAGGCAGACACCCAATGTACTGAGCCACCCAGGCGCCCTGGCATCGTTACTGATCTTGATCTGGATGGTAGTTATACATGTGTCTTCATTTTGTAAAAGTCATTAAGCTTGGATACTTTTCTCTGTATATATTTCAATTAAAAAAAAGTTCCCCCCAAAGTCTTCAAAATTCTATGCAATGTTTAAAAAATAAATTGGTATGTATCAATATGGAAAGGTGCCCACGATAGAAATGAAGAAGTATATAGTCTTACGAATATATTTTTACATAATGTACATTCTGTTTTGTATAGTAAGTAACAAAAGCTTACACATAGCCAAAGATACACAGTAGGAATTTAGAGTGGCAGACTCTTCACATTGCATACCTTTATATTATTTTCTTAATCTTCCTACAAATATGTATTAATTCATTTTATTTTTAGCCTTTCCCTATAATCACTACATGCTTTACTGGTTTTAAAAACACTGTAATGAAGTTAAACAACAGATATGTGCAAAAATAAGTTAATTTCAGCCTTCTCTTGTCAATTCCCCTGAGGTAAGCAATGTTAAATGTTAACATATATGTTGTTCCACAATTTTCTCCATGCGTAATTATTAATTTAATAAAACAAAAGGAAAGAAATAAAGAATATCTTCCCTATCCAGTCTTTTGTGTGAGGAGGAAATAATGTCTTCCCTGTATATTTAATACCAGTTTTCATATAACAGAGAAAACAAAGTAATAAAGCAAATAGTTTTTTTCCAGAAGAGGCACTATAAAAACTAAATATGTACAATAATAACATTTTGCAGTGATTTTTCTTAATTAGCAGCTTGCTAATAAGTAAGTTTCCTCTAACACTCATCCTTCTGTGCCTGGTCCAAGCCTTTGGAACTTCAGTTGATCTAGGTGTCAAAAGGCCCTGCTGCGGGTGCCTGGGTGGGTCAGTCGTTAGGCATCTGCCTTTGGCTCAGGTCATGATCCCAGGGTCCTGGGATCCAGCCCCACATTGGGCTCCCTGCTCTGCAGGAAGCCTGCTTCTCCCTCTCCCTCTGCCACTGCCCCTGCTTGTGTTCCCTTTCTCACTGTGTCTCCCTGTCAAATAAATTTTAAAAATCTTAAAAAAAAAAAAAAAGGCCCTGCTGCTTTTCTTTACTGTCTGCTTTGGCACTTCTCCTTGGGAGAAAAATTCCCTAATTCCCCTCCCACTGCTGAAAAAAAAAAATCATTCTCCACATTTTTTAGCTCCTCAAAACCTCTTCTCCACCTTTCACAGGGCAGAAGAAAAGAAAAAGTCACATATAACTTTCATAACTCTCTTACACTGAGATACTAAAATTAACCCCCCATTAATTTCTTTCCACTAAGAAACTGGTCACATTGTATTCAAAGGATGAAAAATGCCAGTCTCATTCACATTCTTTTCCGAGCTTCAGCTTCATCATGCTCCTTCCAGTTCCTCAAATGCCATGCTCCCTTCCACTAGAGGGCTCTCTCCTACAACCCATTCTGGTCAAAATCCCAATACCACAAATTTGAATGTTTTCTCTTCCTTCCACTTCCTGTGCAATGTGACGCTACTGACCAATCACATCATCTTCATCCTTGAAATGTGAGATACACCTATCCAATGCAACTTTTTGGTCAGCTTCAGGGACTGCTTTGCTAGCTCCTTACAGATGTTAGTGTCCCCAGGGTTCTATCTCTAAGAATCTTCTTTCATTCTATTTATACTCTTTCTTTGGTCATCACAATTATCAACAATCATGATTTTAAAATTCTAAATGCCAATGACTTCCAGAGCACCAGACTCTTCTTTCAAACCATCTGCTAGATAGCTTTATGAGATTTTCCCACAGGTCTTCAATATTGTTAACTTAATTTATATCTTCTTCTTTTAAATCTGCTCTTCTTCCTGGGGCGCCTGGGTGGCTCAGTTGTTAAGCATCTGCCTTCGGCTCAGGTCATGACCCCAGGGTCCTGGGATCGAGCCCCACATCAGGCTCCCTGCTCGGCGGGGAGCCTGCTTCTCCCTCTCCCCTCTCCCTGCTTGTGTTCCCTCTCTCACTGGCTCTCTCTCTCTGTCAAATATATATATATATATATATATATATATATATATATATATATATATATATATATATATAAATAAATAAATATCTACTCTTCTTCCTGTGTCCCCCATCTCAATTCTACCTTCCACTCTACTCTTTCTTCCAATTCTCACATGATTACCATATATAATAACTTCTTAAAATTCTCTTTATGTTCTCTCCAATCCTCATTCCTGCAGTTTGGAATCTCAGCCTTGTTTGCCTGGACAACTGAAATAACTTTGATAAGAGAACAAGCCACCTAAG